CAAGAGGTCTGGCATTGATGATGGCTGTTACTTCAGCCACGAACGTATATAGAACTTCGTGCGTCAGGTTCAGAGGTTTTCTCTGCAGCAGCATGGAGTCGAGAATTCTTCGTGCTACTCCGATCATCCGTTCCCATGCTCCTCCCATGTGTGAAGAGTGGGGCGGATTGAATACCCAAGTACAACCTTGTTCGGCAAGGTAGCGCTGGACTCCAATACCCTGCTGCCGTTCTTTATCAAGTTTGAGCTCGTTGGAAGCTCCGATGAAGTTTGTTCCGCAGTCTGATCTCAGCTGTTTAGCTGGTCGGCGGATGGCAAAGAACCTTCTGAGTGCATTGATGCAGCTTGAAGCATCCATGGACTCGATGATTGATGGTGACTTACATGTACATCCCATGTCCATAAATACCCTCAGTGACACTTTGTCAGTGAAGACACTTGTGGTCTCTCTAGAAATTGCTGAAGTCAGTGACAGGGCTCGACGTGGGGCACCTTTTTGTTTGAAAGAGGTGCATGCCTTTGAAAATTTTCCAGTTCTCTGTGAGAGTCGTGTTACGCATGAGGATTTAATCATCTTAAAGACATTCCTCTTCCATGCGTGATGAGCAAAGGGGTGTCGATGCCTATCGGTCAGGATGCCCCTCACTTGCTTGCACCTCATAACGTGAGACGTGGACTGGAGGGGGAGCCTACGCTGCAAAGATGGTGCTGGGATGGACTGTAAATTGTCCCTTGACTGAGGGAGCACGAGCACCCCAGCGGGCTACCACGCACTATGTTTGAGGAAATGTACAGGTGCAGGTGGAACGTTTCTGTAAGCTTGATACTGGAGATGCTTCGGCTTGTGACTCACCTGCTATGTCCATCAGTGATAAGAAGGCATTGGCTATTTGGGAGCAGTCCCTGCATGTGGTAGATGGGCACTACCAGCTGGCCATTCCCTTCAAGGCAGATGACCCTGGATTGCTGGATGACAGAAGTTTGGCAGAGAAGTGACTTGCATCTCCCAAGAAGCGTTTGACCAAGGATCTGAGCTTGATTTATTCTTGCTGTCCAAGAATGTGAGCTGCATCACTTCTCGGATGCATCCAAGGATGCGTATGGATGTGTGTCCTTTGCCCGCTTTGTCAGTTCAACTGGCAAGGTCCACTGCAGTTTTGTTATGGGCAAGTCGCGTCTAGCACCCCTGAAGGCAATGACTATCCCAAGACTTTAGCTTTCTGCGGCTGTGCTTGCTGCTCGGCAGGACGTCATGCTCAGAAAGGAGACTGATCTGGATATTGGTAAATCCACATTCTGGACAGACAGCATGTTTGTCCTGCAGTATATCAGGAACCAAACAAAGCGTTTCCCCACCTTCGTGGCCAATCGAGTGACAACAATCCATTAGGCATCGTCACCTGAGCAATGGCGCATGGCGGTACGTAAGCACGGATCTCAATCCGGCCGACGACGCTTCCAGGGGGCTTGATGTAGACTGCCTGTTGTTGTCAGATAAATGGAGGAATGGACCTAGATTCCTGTGGCAAAGTGACAGTCAGTGGCCCATGGAACCGGAAGTGACAAATCTGTTTGACAAGGATCGAGAAATGAAACGGGAGACAACCTCTTGAGCTGTTGATGCCAAGGATAATGCCAATCTGATTGATGAGCTTATGAATAGGT